TCCGAAACCAATGAGCATCCGGTATCCCAATCTTGCGGATTGGGTTGCGCAAAGAGCGCGTGAGCTCTGCGTCCGACAAAGACCCAAAAAGACATCCATCCATCCATCCATCCGTCCGTCCGTCTGTCCGTCCGTCCGTCCGTCCGTCCGTCCATCCATCCATCCATCCATCCATCCATCTCTCTCTCTCTCATCTATCTCTCTGTCTATCTCTCTATCAATCTTTCTGTCTATCTATCTATCTACCTATTCTATTCTTTTCTATTCTGTTCTGTTCTATTCTATTCTATCCTATTCTGTTCTATTCTATTCTATTCTAGTCTATTCTATTCTATTCTATTCTATTCTATTCTAATCTGTCTATCTATCTATCCAACTATCCCCCGCTTTGAATGATCCCTTATTACGCAAAGCAAGAAAGCAAAGCTATATTTTTAAATCTATCTATCTACGTACCTACCTATCTATGTATCTATGTATCTATCTATCTATCTTTCTTATCTAATCTAACCTAACCTAGTCTAGTCTAAACTAACCTAACCTAACCCTATCTTATCTTACCTTACCTTATCTCATCCTACCAGGAAAGTGAGAAGTGCGTCTCTCAGCCCTCTGCTTTCTCGTGGCTAATAGGAGTGAAAGGGAACGCAAGAAAGAACGTGACTAGTAACAACAGTAATCTTTGCCCGATGTTAGGCAATCGCGGCAATCACTTGATCTTGGCAGTAAACTTTCATCGGCCCACTCTTAGCAGCACGCCGAGTTTATGAGCCCGGGGAGAAAGGTTGACTTGAGCAGGACATTCACCAGTGGGGGGGGCGGGGTGCCCTTTTTCTTTTGGTTCAAGAGCGTTTTCAAGCTGAAAGAGGGGGCCCAAAGAAACTGAGGGGCGCTTGCCTGCTGTTTGTTTTTCTTGTTTTGTAGGTAAATGTCCTGCTCAATTCAATGTTTTTCCTAACGAATGGGCTCCACTTCTATCCTATAACCGCTCATGGGCCTTGATCGAAACCTTGTGTATAAAGAGCCTGTCATATCGGCCCTCAATGCGAGACTTTCCGCCTCTGCCTTCTATTTCCCCACCCCATAACCACATAGGAGGCGGGCTTTCGCCCCCTCCCTTCTCAGGTTTGTCTGTCTATCTGTCTATCTAACTACCTATCTATCTGTGTATCTATCTATCTATCTATCTTTCTATCTTTCTATCTTTCTATCTAACTAACTATTCATCTATGTATCTATCTAACTATCTACCTAACTAACTATCTATCTATTTAACTAACGAACCAACTATCTATCTAATCTATCTATCTATGTATCTATCTGTATGCCTGTTTGTCTATCTATCTATCTATCTTTCTTTCTATCTATCTATCTCTCTATCTCTCTCTCTCTCTCTATCTCTCTATCTCCTCTCTATCTATCTATCTATCTACCTATCTATCTATCTTTCTACCTACCTATCTATCTATCTATCTTTCTATCCGTCCATCCATCCATCCATCCATCCATCCATTCCATCGATCTATCTGTCTATCTATCTATGTATCTGTCTTTCTATCTATATCTATCTGTCTGTCTGTCTGTCTGTCTGTCTGTGTGTGTGTCTGTCTGTCTGTCTGTGTGTGTCTGTCTGTCTGTGTGTGTCTGTCTGTCTGTCTGTGTGTCTGTCTGTCTGTCTGTGTGTCTGTCTGTGTGTCTGTGTGTCTGTCTGTCTGTCTGTGTGTCTGTCTGTCTGTCTGTGTGTCTGTCTGTGTGTCTGTGTGTCTGTCTGTCTGTCTGTGTGTCTGTCTGTCTGTCTGTGTGTCTGTCTGTCTGTGTGTCTGTCTGTCTGT